TTTTTAATATTTAATTTCCTTTTGCCTTTTCAATATCGCCTATTTCCCATGTATTATTACATTTCAATGACTCTTTCTCTGAACATATAGCCTTCTCCCAATTTTTCCTTTCAGTTGACTTCATCGCTTCAGCAAAGGTAAGTTATACATAATCATGCAGGTAAGTAGGTTTTTTCTTTTCTCGTTTATCTCTAGTCTGTTTATTTTCTTCTTCATTTTCATTATCAGTTATATCATTATGTTCTTCTTCTATTTGTAATTCAATCATTTCTGTTTCTATTTCTGGTACATCTGTGTAATTCTCACAATCAGCCTCTTGATTTTTATCTACTTCTTCATTGTTTTCTGAAATCATTTGATCCTTTTCTATTGTCTGTTGCTTGTTCATTTTTAAATTATCTGGTCTTGCTTCATAATTTTCGAAAATACAACATCTCTTGCTATTATAGCTATTAACGGGATTGTTACCATGTACCTTGTTTTTTATGAGTCTCCGATATTTCGGCACTGTTGCAAGCGCCATGATCACGGAGTAACTGATGTAATTGCGGGTAGATGTTATTGGCAGACATATCGGTCTACCCTCTGACGTCGTCTTTTACTGCGCTCGATACCCCTACCATTGGTTACATTCTCACTATTCACTCGCATCTGTTCCCGACACACAATACTCACAGTATCCGATCGCGGAACGACACTTTTTTGATTTTTACGGTTTTTGCACATACGAACCACTGGATTCCAGACACTTGACAATTTAAACCCATCCTCACGATTGAAATTTTTGTGTTTGGTTATTTCAATCGCTTCCCTGACCAATCTTGGTATGTAGTGGCGTTCTGTCGAGATGATTTGTGGATTATGGAGCTCAATCCAGTGATTCGGACCCGAATCGATTAAATGTTCCGCGATAGCTGATTTCTGCGTATCATTGTTTCTGACTGCTTTTATGTGTTCTTTCATTCGGCACGCTATTGTCCGCTTCGTTTGGCCAATATATGAACTACCACAGCTGCAGTCGATCTTATATACACCAGGTCTCTCCAAAGGGAAGTTGTCTTTGGGAGATCGTAGAAACTGTGACACTTTTTGTAAAGGAGTGAAGACAGTATTCAGTGAGTACTTATTAAGTATGTTCGAGATCTTGTCTGTCACTCCTTTGATATATGGCAAAAATACTGGTTGCCTGCTTACTATGTGTGTCTGGTGCCTTAATTTGTGTTTGGGTGGAAACTGTCCCTTGTATCCATTATTCTGTAGGACCCGCCGTACATACTCCAACTCTTCGTGCAGGTGTTCCTTGTCACACAAGTCATATGCACGGTTTGTCAGTGAAGTCACACGATTCGGGTTCGAATCACTGGATTGAGCTCCATAATCCACAAATCATCTCGACAGAACGCCACTACATACCAAGATTGGTCAGGGAAGCGATTGAAATAACCAAACACAAAAATTTCAATCGTGAGGATGGGTTTAAATTGTCAAGTGTCTGGAATCCAGTGGTTCGTATGTGCAAAAACCGTAAAAATCAAAAAAGTGTCGTTCCGCGATCGGATACTGTGAGTATTGTGTGTCGGGAACAGATGCGAGTGAATAGTGAGAATGTGACCAATGGTAGGGGTATCGAGCGCAGTAAAAGACGACGTCAGAGGGTAGACCGATATGTCTGCCAATAACATCTACCCGCAATTACTTCAGTTACTCCGTGATCATGGCGCTTGCAACAGTGCCGAAATATCGGAGACTCATAAAAAACAAGGTACATGGTAACAATCCCGTTAATAGCTATAATGTTAGTGACCATGAAAGTTTAAAACAATATATCTCGTGCTATTTCTATTCTTCTCACTTTTTCATTCCATAGTCTATAACCATTATTAGTAAATCCAACCATTATCAATTTCTTGCTTCTTGGATCTAATTTCTTTGTATTTGTACCGAGTTGCTTTGCATATACACTTGAACCAAATTTTTGTATATTGGCTAAGTTAGGTCTTTTGTTACACCACATTTCAAATGGAGTTTTGTTGTTTAATGTTTCAGTAGGTAACCTATTTATTAAATATGTAGCACAGTACATGGCTTCACCCCACATTTCCTTATTTAAGTCTGAATCAAACAATAACGCTCTTGTTTTATCAAGCAATGTTCTATTTAGCCTTTCAGCTTTGCCGTTCAACTGCGGTGTGTATGGTACTGTCAAGTCTAATTTTATTCCCTTTTTCTTGCACCATTCTTTAAAATTATTACTGGTATATTCACCACCATTATCACATCTGATTACTGATACCTTTTCTTTCCTTTCTCTTTCCATCTCTTTTATATAATTTATTATATTTTCTTTTACTTCACTTTTGTGTTTTAATAGACATATTTTTGTTAAATGGGTATAGTCATCCATAATGGTTAAGACGTAGTTGTAACCATCATATGTTTTATTTTCAAATGGACCACATACATCTGTATGTAATAACTGTAAAGGTCTATAAGCTCTGGTTCTTACTGTACTAAATGGTAATTTTGTTTGCTTTGCTTGTGTACATATTTCACACTTATTATTACTTTTCATTGACCCTTGTATTTTTATTCCGTCTGCTACCTTTATTTCTTACATATAGAACACATTTTACAATCTTTCTTCATATGTCCTGTTTTATTACATTTATAACATTTTATAATATTTTCCTTTCTTATGGCCTTGAATGCTAGTTGGTTATTTTTCGCTCTTATTTTCATTTAATCTACTTTCTTCATTTAGTAATCTGTTAGTTAAGTTAGTTAAATTCTTTTTATCATCCGGTGAAGATTCCCACGCAGTAATAAAATAACGCAGGTTATTAGGTAAACAAGTTAATATTTTTGACATGACCATTTCTTCATTTATGTTTTGCCCAATTTGATTCAATCTTAACTTCAAATTCTCAATGTCTGTTAAGAATTGTGTCAGAGATCTGTTTTCTAATTTGAAAGTAAAGAATTCTTGTAATAATGAAGACTTATTTCTTTCTTCGCAGCCTTCAAATATATTGCACAGTTTTGTGTACATTTCCAGGGCATTTGAGCAACCTAAAATATGTCCCTTTAATTTTCTGTCGATTGTATTAATAATGAGAGATTGTACTTTGGCATCTTTTGTTTGGAAATCGGATATTACTGTAGTCGACTGATCTTGCTTTGGTATCATAACCTCATTTAATTTTTGTGCTTTCAAATAAATGCCCAACTCTAATTTCCACAGTAAAAAACTTTCACCATCTTTCAATCTTTCAATTTTCACTTCGTCACTCATTTTTATTTTATTTTCTGGTTTGTATTTCTGTTTTTTTCTTCGGTAGCAACACGTGCTTTTCCGACTTTGATTTTTCTTGGTTTTATTTTATGATTTTTCGCGGCCTGGGCCCATAACCTGTAGAATTTCAGGTCGCTATGGGGCACACCAGGGTAACTCAAACGCCTTTTTATTATATTGTAACTGGTTAATTTATTATACTGTTTTATCTAATACACTGGTTTTATTTATTACATCCTTCTTCCGTTTTCTATTTTTAGCTTCTCTATCAAACCACTGACTACCAAACATAGATTCGAAGATGGAAACCACAGCTGATGAAGCCACTCAAGTGGTTGCACTATTGCAATCAGGGACGCGGCAGTGTCATGTTGCCCGGCAACTGAACTTGAGCCGTTTTTCAGTTCGAAAAGTATACCAGCGCTTCATAGAGACTGGTGGCTATATCTAGAGACATGGGTCCGGTAGACGTCGCTGCACTTTAGAAAGAAACGACCGGTTCATTCTGTCGAACTCTTTGAGAAATCGTTTCTCTAACGCTGTTGAGTTGCAACAGCAGCTTCGAGCAGTTCGCAGACGCACCGTGAGCGTCTCTACGATTAGAAGAAGGCTGAAGGAGAAAAAGATAGCGGCCCACAGAGCTGCGAAATTGACAGCAGCGCATCGGTGAGCCCGCTTACAGTTTGCTCGTGACCACGTCGATTGGACCCTTGAGCAGTGGAGACCTGTTATCTTCTCAGAAGAGACGCGAGTGTGTTTTTTCTGCAAAGTACGATGGAGAAGAGTATAGACAACGGAGGCAGGGTGAACGTTTTGCAGAAGTCTGCATCCAGGAGACGGTGGAATTAGGGGGCGGATTCTGCATGTTCTGGGGCGGTATGTCGGCTGCCGGCAAAACAAACCTTGTCTGCGTCTCCCGGACTGAAAGTCCTCGCGGACAAGGGTCGCTGACTGCTCGCCGCTATGTCACAGAGATCCTGGAAGTGCATGTGGTCTCCTTTGCCGAATCTTTTGGCGAGGGGTTCACATTAATGCACGACAACACCCGCGCTCACACTGCAGCTATCCTGAGTGACTTCTTACAGAGGTCCCAAATCTCTGTGATGCAGTGGCCAGCGAGAAGTCGGGACCTGAATCCGATAGAGCACCTCTGGGATCATCTTAAGCGCAAGGTTCAATCACGGAATCCAGTTCCTTCGACTCTACAGAAGCTCCAAGACACGGTGATTGAAGAATGGGGGCTTATCCCTCAAAAAGATCTGAAGTTAGTCAGGACCATGAGGGATCATATGAAAGCTGTCATCAGGGCTAGGGGGGGTAACACTAGATTTTAAGTTAATTTTAAGATACTTTTTGTACATTTTTCTTTGTAAATTATCTGTTGTTAATTAGGACTTAATGAAGGATTGTTATCATTTTTTAAATTTTAATGTTGTTTGTATAATTTTAATAAAATAAAAAGTTTAATTTTATGGTTTTTTGATTCTCCCTTTTGTTACCTTTCTAATGATACACAACACAATTCTCTAAATAAGGTTTAAGAATTTTTGAAGAAGATTTTTAAAAGGTGCAATTTTTTTGATGCCAAGTGTATTTATGATTTCTGTTTTTTAACAATAACTGTCAGATCAAACCTACTGAAACACGATCAATATATGATTAGTTTAACTTAAAAGAATCCCTGACTGATTAAATTAATCCTACATACCTCCAAACTTATTCCAGTGACATCTGTATCCAAAAATTCAAGTGCTGGTTTCATACATTTTGATAAAAGAGATAGCTGACATAAGTCAGCATGAATAGAAGTTAACTGCGAATCAAATAGTTGTATCTTCCTAATAGCTTTTTTTAATATTTCGATTCCACGGATTGGTTGTTTTATTTCCACTAAATGATCCGTAAGTAAATGACACAAATCAGCATCTATAACAAATGTACTTTGTTAAATATTATTGTTGAAATGTAAATAAGAATAATATAAACCAGAGAATGCTAACAACAGAATATTGAAGCTACCTGGCAGTTTTATCATAATTCTATTAAATATTATTTTAATGGGTATTTTTACATTTAGAGGTATCAATATATCCACTACTAGCAATCTGCCCCTGGATTTGCACTGGTGATAAATAACATACTGATTTTTCACTCCAGTAGCTAGTTTTTTAGTTTATTAATTACAAACAAACAAATTGTTCCTTTTTATAATATTAGTATAGATTTCTAGTATCTATATAATCAATCCCTGATTTATGAATGTATAATCATTAACCCTGATTAATGATTATACATTATACATATAGTCAAAATCTAAGCATCCACTTTCAACAAATATACTTAAGTGTTTCCTCTGAAAATACATAAAGTCACCAAAAAACAATTAATGTTCTCTGGTTCTTTTTCTCTGCAAAGATTAAATTTAATTTGTTTATATATTGAGTACTCACATAAATCTGGAGCAAACCGAACCTGTTCTCCATTACAGTTATTGATAAAGTCATGGATTTGTTGGAATATACTAGACTTATCAACTTCACTTACAGAGCCCTGCAATATGAAAAGAGACAAATACTTAGTATATATTAAATTGATACTTAAGTTCCCATTCTTATAGTAATTATCATCTATCATCAAATTGATCTCCCTGATCTATGCATCTTTGAACCAATATTGCAAAAACGCATTATTTTTTTTACATTGTACATAATATAAATGTATATACAAAATATAAATATATTTGGTAGGAGTGGTAGGGGGGTAGCACCCTACCCCTCTCCTTCCACATCCCCCACTACCGCCCCTTAAATCAGGGGTTGTATAGTAATCTCAACCCTAAGTTGTTGACATACATTTTCAACATAAAATTCATAACTGCTAGGCCTAACAAACACAGTAAGGCCGCGATTTATTCTTCTGAGTAGAAAGATTATAACTAACCTGAGGTAATGAAAATTTGGCTACCAGTACTGCTAAAACACCAAGTGAGTGTTGTTGAATATCAAGTGTCTCTAGAACTGTACTTAGATGAGCACTATTTCTTTGTAAGACTTCATCAGATTTTCCGATGATTTCCCATAATTCACGAAAGTTGCCTGTCAAAACATACAATAGTAAGTAATAAAATTCTATGTGGCTGATGACTGTTTTTATAGAATTTTCATACCTGACGCCGACATCGTCCTAACATTATTTACAAACTGCTCTAAAGGGGAAGCCATAGTTCGAGGTAATAATAAAAGGAAAAACAAACAGATCCCTTCAAAATTCTTAGTGAACTTCTTTTTTGTGTCTGTGGCTTTCTCCGTTTTACACAGAAATTTTGCCAATGTCCAGTAGTGAGAGAGACACGAGGAAGATTGATCGGTAGAAACAGATTATGGTGGTTTAGTCTATAAGTAAATAATCGAATATCCGTTCTTCCTTGAGCTTTTCTTGATTAATATTATTCCGAATCCGAAGCCCAAGCACGAATTTTGACAGCTCCGTAATCACAGACTAGTTAGAGATACTTGCTCCGTAATCAATCTTTTTTTTTTTTTGTTGAAGTTCTCCCGTTTTAGGGAAGGCAAAGGGAACAATGCCCATACAGCCTAGTCTTTAATTAAATTTATCTTCTTTTTATTTTTACATTAGAATGTCGGTGTGACGCATTCTAATCTTTCTTGGAGTGTTTGGCACGAAATGTATCGAGTTGGCTTTTTCGATATGCTTCTGTGAGGTAGTCAACACTACAATAAAATTCTCACGTCCACTTGACCGTAGGCATGCGTCCGATATATCAAAACGAATCCAAAATCCGATTTCAAACACAAATCGATACCGAACGATTTCTCAACAAGAAAATCCGATTTCAGAAATCTAACCGAACCAAAACGCTAGCGATCTAATACCACCACAAGTCCACAAGTATCCAAATGTAAATCGGATTCGAAATTCGTGCTTTCGTTTTCGGAAGTCAGATTTCGTGCTCGGAAGTCCGATTTCGGTTTGCTGTTTACGGAAATCTATTGTTCTTCTCTAAGGCGGGATTATTTATTACTGAAAAAAGATGTCTAAAAACATCAAAAGTCGAGCAACTGACAGTTTTTTGAACGCTAACCTGAAGTAATTAGGTTTGATTTTGTAAATGGTTTGAAAAATAATAAAAACAAACAGAAAAACCAAAAAAAAATACTAAAAAAATATGTAAAAAGAAATCATTTAACATAAGCCGATTTTTAAATGCGCCGCAAAAGTTTTACTCTTATCCGTAAAGATAACTTTTCTGCTAGTCCTAAGCCACAGAATATATACTCTTGCCTAAGCCTAGATTTAAAGCATAAAGGAAAATCGCGCAAATCTACGAGTATCCTTGCTTCGTACAATTAATTGTTTGTGATTGTCGTTAGCTAATAAAACCAAATCATATCACAAACTAGTGAATTGGCTTAGTTCGGCACATCTGAAATCGGATATCTAAAAACGGATTTTAAAATCGATTTTGAAATCTGAAATCCGATAAATATCCGTTTGCGTTCAAAACCAAAAACGCCCATGTCTACTTGACCGGAATAGCGTATATTTTAATGATTCCGCTAATTCTTCAGTTACGCAGACAGTTGTTACACAAAACCACACCAATTTTATTTCACAATATCCACTATGAACGAATTTAAGAATAATTAAAATAAGACGCCAACCGCACTCGATGAAATCCCGCCAAAAAAGCCCCTTTTTTTTCTTTTTTTTTAATTTATTGGCAATCCGTAATCAATCGCCACAGCAGTGTTGCCAACTCGGATTTTGAAAAAGGCGTAGGCCCGATGAGAAAATTACGTAGATTTAGTAATTTTTGCATATGAAAAGTACGTAGATCTACGTATTTTTTTCTGAGTGAAATTAAGAAGTCAGGTGAAACCGAATGAAACGAGTATTTTGTTATACAATTTCTTTAAAAACGGGAGATAGAACAAAGAGGTCTTGGAGAAATCACTGCATTGGAAGCATTTACCACGCTGCGGTGGGCCATGACCATGTGGTATTATAAAACCATGATTTCTAATAGATCACATGAAAAATAGAGTTAGTTATCATAATGCACTTGGTAAAAGTCTCTAGAAAGTTGTGGTTAAAATTGCCAAGAGAAATAATACATACACTTATACATGAACACATGTTAAAAACTTACTAATTCCTGTAACTTTATCGACTGAAAGTCATTTCTTTTTGCAAACATCAATTCGATGTAAGTACTCATTGAATAATATTTAAAGTTTAAAAATTCAATTTTTAAGGTTACGAAGGTTCCTACTAAGTCAAAGAGTTTTGTTGTTTCTCCTTTCACAAATCCTGCGTCCAGCATTAATTTAGTCAACAAAACCAATGACGGGAACCTTTTCTACAAGATACAGGAGTTTTTAGATATATCTTTATAATAAATAAACATTTTTATAGTTTTTAAGAAAAGTAACGGAAAATATTCTTCTTTATTCTAGTGAATTAAGTTATTTTACAAATTTGAAAAAATTAAAGAAAATAAGTAGATTCTGGGACTAAAGTTAGGTAGTAGGTTTGCAGAAAAGGCCTAAAATACGTAGATCTACGTAAAAAGACGTAGAGTTGGCAGCACTGCGTCACAGATCACTATTTAAGTAGCAAGCTATCAATCGTATCACATTCACATCGTCAAAGTATTTTTTTTTTTGGGAAGCGCGGGAAACTTCCAACTTGGCGGACGCGTTCTTTTGGCATCTGAAAATATTTACTTAATAGAAGTTAAAATAGTGATCAGCGGATAGGTTTGTTTATTAATATTGTATATATATTTAGTGTATTTCTTTATTTATTGTCCCTGCTGCCTTGGTAAGTCAAAATTTGATTATTATCTTATAGTTGTATGAACGTCCCCCCGGCTAGTAATTTTGTTACCATTACTTCAAATAATGAATCTGGTATGGAAACAGATGGTTCCATGTCCAGTCGCACATCAAAACGGAGCCGGCTCCATGTTTGCAAACATTGCAACAAAAAAAAGGCGCAAACATTCCTCGTCAGAACCTAAAGTTACAGATTGCAGTTGCTATGAATCCACCGCAACGCCAGTCCAACAAGAATCAAATAGCCTGAGTGTCAATGACTCTAAAACTTCTCCTGTGTCCATACCCTGCCCAGTACTGATTCCTATAGGTAGGAAGTTTTATGACAAAACTGATGCTTCACCTTTTGTAGTGCATGTACAGAGAGAGCAAGATTCATCATCAGACGGAATCACAATGCATCCATGTCGTTTGGTAAATTTCTCAAACAAAACTCTTTTTACAATATAATTAATGGAAGTGTAAAAAAGATTGGGCGAAATAAAATGCAAGTTTCGTTCTCAAAATTTACTGATGCAAATAATTTCATCAATCATAGTAGTTGGTCAAAAAATAATTTAAAAGCATATATTCCAACATTTAACATTACACGAATGGGTTTAGTTAGAGGTGTCCCTGCAGAGTGGTCTCCGGAGGAAGTTAAAAGTAATATTTCTGTTCCCATAGGTTGTGGTGAAATTCTGAAAGTAAGGAGACTAAATTATAAATCCTTTGTAGATGGAACTCCTACCTGGAAGCCATCCTAAACTATAGTTTTAACCTTTGGTGGCCAAATTTTACCAAAACGAATTTTAATGTGTTACAATGCACTCAATGTGGATCTGTATATATTTCCTACAATCCAATGTTATCACTGCTGCCGTTTCGGACATACTAAAGTTCAATGTAGATCTAAACCTAGATGTTTTAAATGTGGTCAAAATCATACAGGTGACTCATGCAATATCACAGAGGAAGATGCGCTCTGCTGCTGGTGTGATGGGCATCACTACGCCAATAATAAATCCTGTCCGGAATATGTTAGGCAATCCCAAATAAAATTATACATGGCACAAAACTGTGTATCATACGCAGAAGCATCAAAATTACTTCCACCCATATCTAGGTCCTATGCTGATACTTTAATGACCCCTTCCACAAAAATAGTAAATGAACCTATGATTAGTAATTTATCTAATAGTAACATAAACCACACAACATCTTATAAAAAAACTATTTTTAAGAAACCGCGTAATATGCCTGCATTTTCAAAAGGCTATGATACAATAGCCCATAATACTATATTGAAGGAATTTGCAATTCCTACCCCTAACAATGGCTGTGGTCTTAGTACAAGTGATGACAGAACATCCTCAGTGAATCAACTCCCTCCTGATTTTATTACTGCTCTCTTCAATGTGTTTACTCAATTCAATATCCTTCCACCGTCCAACACTGCTCAGATTACTAAAAATAACATTCAATTCATCAATGGACAGACAAACAGACAAGATAATACAGAGGAACTGCCGTAGTGCCTTAAGCAAAAAAAATGAAATTATTCATTTAATAAATAAATTTGAGCCTTCTGTTTTAGCCTTGTCTGAAACATGGCTTACATCTCAAAGAAATTTTAAAATTAATGGTTATCATACTATTAGAGAAGATAGAATGGATGGCTATGGTGGAGTAGCCATTCTAATTAAAAATGGTGTTATTTATGAACCCAATACCTTAATAAGACATAGTGAAGAAATTTCAATGATTGCAGTGAAAGTTAAATATGTAGTAAATAAGTACAAATCTTCTGTTGAAAATAAATTATCATCTCTCCCTATTATCACTCCCGGTAATGAAAACAGTTGTGCAGAGGCATTAGCTAGTATTTTAAATAAAGCTGCCATAGAATTGTTTCCTATTAAAAATAACACCCACATGAAAATACCATCTCCTCCTTGGTGGGACAAGGATTGCTCTGAGGCTGTGAGGAAGAGAAAGCAGGCAGAAATCATGTACAATACTAATATGACAGAATTTAACTATGATAACTTAAGTAAAGTAGTTGCAGAAACTAAATAAATATTTAAAAAGAAAAAAATCAAAAGCTGGAGAAATTTTTGCAGTTCTATTTCACCAGACACGCCCGCTACCCTGGTCTGGCGTAACATAAAAAGATTTAAATCCGCCTATAATACTTCCTCTCCTGTCACTATGCCTCCTGCAATAGTTAACGATTAAATGGACAAATTGGCCCCACCGTGGACTCCCATTCCCATGCTCAACACTTCACAGGTTTTACAATCGAGTAGTAGCTCTGGATTGAATCGTCCTTTCTCCCTTCAAGAACTTAAGAGTGCTGTTTTCGACTATAAAGATTCTGCCCCTGGGGCAGACGGAATTCCGTATTCGTTTTTCGCAAATGTTAGTGATAACATCTTAACCTATTACTTGCAACTTAACAACACTATCATGATAACTAGAGATGGAAAAAACGGCTTATTTCTTAAAAGCATTTAAACGTTTTACTTTTTAAAATAAGCGCGCTTGAAAAAAAGCTTTTTCGTTTAAACGCTTATTGGCTTAAACGTTTAAAAGCATGCGTAAAAAGTGCGACGTTGTGTTGTGTTTTCGTTTAGGTATATCGTTTAAAAAAGCGTGAAAAGTTTCTTGTCGTTTTTAATGTGTTTA